ATCTAATTTCTAATGTTTTATATGCAGATTAAATAGGTTTTAAGGAAACTTTTGTCTTGTCTCCCGAGGCCACAGGAGGGCGCAATGAGCAAAATAATGCAGCACATATTGTCAACGCATGGAAATAACTGTCTATAAAAAAACATGTGTGACGAGTGGGGGCGGGGCCGAGAGCCGTGGGAACGGAAGAGGCGCAGTGAAAAGGAATAAAGCTAAAAGTTTAAACTGTTTTAACTTTGCATGGCTACATCTCTTGTGTGAGACGCGAGTGCAGCAGTCATATTTGTCCGTCTAAAAAAATGCGCTGATCACAGGCAGGCACAGCACTCAGTTCAGCATGTGTTCGTGTTTGTGTGTGCTGTCTGCGTCACTCATAGTATGTGCCTATATCGTGCGCTATATCGAAAAATATCGTTATCGAAGGTGTACCGTTGATAAATATCAATACCGTTTTATCGCCCAGGCCTATCTAAAGCAGGGTAATTATATAGTTCACGTAAACTAAAACCATCAAAAATTCATTACCTGAATATAAAACATAAAAAAAAAAAAACCATTTTATTTCAACTAGTTGACAAGGCAACATTTATCATTTTCAGTTTATCCTGACGTACTAAAATAAAATGAATAAACACTATATAGACATTTAACAACAAAAACAAAAAATTATGAAACGCAATAAAATGACTAAAAACTTAAATTAAAATGACTATAATAGTATCTTTGATGGAGAAATGTCTAATGTGAACAGCATTCAAACTTGTTCATGCGGGAAATTATTGGGTTCATGAAATGATGAAAAGCTAATAATTAAATTATAAAAATGTAAAATTTAAATGCATTATATGCACTATTTTGGTAATAAATTATATTTTAACTGTAACTGAATGTGGGGTGTTACTCAAAGTTTTTCATCTGATATTTATATTTTCTTTTGTTTCAGCTTTATTTTATATATATACATATATATACACATACATATATATATATATATATATACACACACACATACATATATATATATAAATCATTTTAGCTTCAGTTAACATTGAAATATTAACTTAAAATCTGTATTTAAATATAATATTATTGCATGTTAATGTATGTATTATGCTAACTACTTTGAACATTTCATATATATTCAGTGTAAATGTAAACAATTTAGTAATTTATTATAATTAATTAGTATAATTTAGTGCAGTATCAATACTTTACAAAAAATGTTTCTCTTAATCTTCTCTTGATAAATATCAGCATCTTTACAAATTTATCTTATCATATTTATGTGTGCTACACATATACTGTAATGTGTAATGATGCTGTAATAATTCCTGTCGGAAAATACAAATGACATCCTCATTGTTAATTATACAAAAAAGTTGTAAAATTTTTATTTACATGAAGAATATCCAAACTGACGGTCTAGTAACTTCACAGTTGAATCACAGTAAATCATTTCCGCTAGCATGATCAATGACACTGAATCTGAAGCGTCTTCATAATTTGCTTAATCTGCGATTCAGCAGGTCTTTAAACCCAGAAGCTGGATCGTCCAAGTTAAAGCCGACCTCAAACTCGGGCTTCTTTCCGAGGGCCAGCACAGCGACGGTTACGGCCAGAGCGGCGGTCAGACCCCAGATCTGATGGATGTTACCTGTGCTGGGGTCAGTGTACATGAAGCTGTGGGTCGGGCCGAAGACGCTGGGCACAGGATAGCCGGAGTGATCCGCCGCTTTAGTGAAAAACTCCAGAGGAAGAGAGAACACCTCGCTCACCTCGTCTGTGTTTGGACGCGCTTCGAAGGAGTCCTCGATGAAAGCCACCACTGGAGTGATCAGAAGACCAGCCTGAGGAAACCATTTCAGCCGTTACAACTGGCCAAAGCAGACCATTCATTAGCCACAAATTAATCAATAAAAAGCTTACTGCATCCTGGCTCGCTAAATTCTTATTTAGTAGTTACGTGCATTTTACTAAAATGCTTATATATATTTTTTTTCATTTCAAATAATTTCATTAAATATATTCAAATAAAGTATACATTATAATCAATATATACTATAATAATTTATTAACGATCTCCTCCTCTGCTTCTCTGAGAGCGGTGTGAACTTCATCTCGGTCACCGGACTCACGCTTTCCTCCCGGGAAGCACACTTCACCCGCGTGCTGCTTCAGCTGCAACACACCCACAAGCTCTCAATACACGCTCATGCTATGAATGCAGTTTACATCAAGACAGTAGCCTACACAGCGAGCTCAGACTGAGGTTCCTCACGTGAATGGCGCGCACGGTGAGCAGGAGCCGCAGCTGTCCGTCTCTCAGCAGCAGCGGGATCAGCACCGAGGCTCCGGGGAGCGCCGGTAAACGGAGGAACTTCTCGCCGCTGTCGTGTTTCTTCAGTGCCGCGACAGTTTTCTCCTTCAGATCCATCGCGGCGGATATGAGCTCCTGTCAGGACACTTTCACAATGCTCTGTGAGGACGCTTCCGCTTACCTCAGCGCTTCCCATAATGCTCCTCTGGGCTCTGCTCCGGTTCATTGTGTGAAAACACTTCTGGATAAACAGACAGCTGAACACAGAAATAGAACAAGCAGTTAACGTTAGAGGTGTTAAGTAGGGGCGGGGCTAAGCGGCTCGGAAGTTGTCTCTTATTGGTTAGAGATGTTCGTGCCATTTCAAGTGACACTATTACAGTTTGTTTCACTTAAATGATATTATATATCTTTTTATGTCTAACAGACACACTTAAAAATAAAATGAGGATTTCTGAGTTGATAAATCAACTGTAACTGTTTAATAGTAATTAATATGCCCAAAATTAGGTGTTTATTTTTATTCATTCGTGTCGATTAAAATGCCAACTGTTTAGCTGATGAACCATTTTCTTGTAGAAAACTTAAGTAGACAAAAACGTCATAAAACTTTTTTTTTTTTTAATTACACGTGATCCAGGAACTTTATGCAGTGAAAAAAGAAGTCTTCTTTTGCATTTTATTTGACTTGAAGAGTTGCTCTTGTCCTTTTTTTGTGTCTTTTTAAGGCATTACATTGAGCATTTTTTTTAGGCCTTTTAAGCATTACATTGTCATGGCAACAAAGTAAAAGCTTTACACAGAAAAGCTTAGTGAGCAATTATTATTTGGAATAGTGCACCCAAAAATAACAATTCTGTCATCATTTACTCACCTTCACGTCGTTCCAAACCTGTATGAATTTATGTCCTCCGTCATGCACAAAAGAAGATATTTTGAAGAATGTTTGTAACCAAACAGTTGATATTGACTTCCATAGTAGGGTCAAAATCACTAAAAAGTGCCTTTGGTGAATCACTCTTAAACTACTTTTTAATCAAAACATTATTTTTGTATCTGCAAGGAGTCCGTTACACATTTTCCCTAACGTAGGCTAATTATGGCTGTCGAATGTCTGACTTGACTCTTGTTAATGTATTTTGCCCTGCCCCCAAACATATGATTCGACTATCAGTCGAATATCATCAAGATTCTAAATATAACATCAGAATCACTCAGTCATCATGAACATATAACTTCAATGTAGGGGTGTCCCCGACTAAGGATTTTCATAGTCGAATCTGAATTTTCGAATCTTGATGATATTCGACTGATAGTCGAATCATATGTTTGGGGGCGGGGGGCAAAATACATTAACAAGAGTCAAGTCAGACATTCGAATGTCATAATTAGCCTACGTTAGGGAAAATGTGTAACGGACTCCTTGCAGATACAAAAATAATGTTTTGATTGAAAGGTAGTTAACATTAAACATCAGCGAAACTCTAAGAATTCACAAAAATTTTTATAATAGTGCTCTTATTATAACGTTATGTATGTAAGTAGGCTAGTTATTAATGTTCTGCATTTCTGTTTTGAGCTGCGCGCGCTGAAGATGACCAGTAGAATGAAGCAGCAGGATTTTAATCAATGGGATTTAACTCATCATTTATCTCATATAGAATACGCTTCGTTATTTATACAACATAAC